CGCGCCGCGACGCCTGGCCCGGGCCCCGGCTGGAGCCACTCACCCGATGCCCCCCAGCCCGCCCCCTCTGCCCGGGACCAGGCTGGCGGCTCCCGGGAGCTTGCCCGGGACCGCAAGAGGCGGGCACCTTCCTGGGCTAGTGCAGACATCTTGGACCTCGTCCACGATCTCTGCACTAGGCACAGGAAAGTGGCCGTCTAGGGCAGGAGAGCTGCCAGCCTGGCCACCCAGGACCAGGTGTGCATGAAAATCAAGGGGGTCCACTGAGACCCCCGACCCTGAGCCCTGAGCTTACAATGGCCGTCCTGGGTCAGACCAAAGGTCCATCTAGCCCAGTAGCCTGTCTGCCAACAGCGGCCAACCCTAGGGACCCTGGAGGGGATGGACCGAAGACAATGACCAAGCCATTTGTCTCGTGCCATCCCTCTCCAGCCTTCCACAAACTTTGGGCAGGGACACCACTCCTACCCTCTGGCTAATAGGACTCCATGGACCCAACCTCCATGACTTGATCTCACTTCCCTTTAAACTCTGTTCTAGTTGTAGCCTTCACAGCCTCCTGCAGCAAGGAGTTCCACAGGTTAACTATTTGCTTTGTCAAGAACAACTTTCTCTTACTAGTTTCAAGCCTGCTACCCATTCCTTTCCTTTGGTGTCCTCTAGTCCTTCTTTATGGGAACTCATGAAGAACTTTTCTGAATGCACCCTCTCCACCCAACCCCTGCTTTTAGAGACCTCTATCCTGTCCCCCCTCCGTCTCCTCTTTTCTAAGCTGAACAGTCCCAGTCTCTGTAGCCTTTCTTCATCTGGGACCTGTTCCCAACCCCTGATCATGTTAGTTGCCCTCCCCTCTCCCAGCCTTTCTCTTCCCCTCTCCCACCTCCTTTTCCCAGTCTCCCCCAGTTTTTTTCAATAAAGACAGAGTCAATGTTGGAAGAAACGTTATCTTTATTTTGTACATCAATAAGAAGGGGGGCTAGGGAAGGGTAAGTGGAAGGAGGTGAGGGAGGAATGGGGTACGAGCCCCCGATGGGGAGGACTGGGCTGGCTCTGCGGGCTTCTGGGGGTGGAAGCTCTCCTGCAGCCCCCCAATTACTCCCTCTCCCCAGATGGCAGCCTGCGGCAAGTGCAGCCGGGCTGATGGCCGAGTGGTGTGATGTGCCCAGTGTGGGCACTCAGGGCACTCCAAGCCAGAACTTCTTTGCAAGCGGGGCACCCCTTAGAACTGTGTGTCCGGGGTGGGGGTCGGGACCCTTTAAGCGCAGCCCTCGGCTAGCCTGAGACAGCATCTCCATGCTCTAAGTCCTCCTTTTATGCCCTGCCGGCACTGCTTCCGGCCATCCTTAAGCCCTGTTCAGAGTCCACTCAATGTGGACTTGCTAGTTCGAACTAGCAAAACGCTAGTTCGAACTAGTTTTTAGTTCTAGATGCGTTAGTTCGAACTAGCTTAGTTCGAATTAACTAATTCGAACTAAGTTAGTTCGAACTAGCGCTGTAGTGTAGACGTACCCTTAGTTTGGTGAGATCTTTTTGAAGCTCTTCACAATCAGCTTTGGTCTTAACTATCTTGAGTAGTTTGCTATCATCTGCAAATGTTGCCATCTCACTATTTACCCCTTTCTCTAGATCATTTATAAATAAATTGAATAGGATTGGTTCCAGGACAGACCCTTGGGGGACCCCACTAATTACCTCTCTCCGCTCTGAAAACTTACCAGTTATTTCTAGCCTTTGTTTCCTGTTTTTTAACCAGTTATCAATTCATGACAGGACTTTCCCTCTTGCCCCACGACAACTTACTTTACTTAGCCTTTGGTGAGAGGCCTTTATTAGATTCAGGGATAGCCGAGTTAGTCTGTACAGGATAAACTTAAAAAACAGCAAATAGTCTAGTAGCACTTAAAGACTATCATGAGTTTTCGTGAGCACAGTCCACTTCTTCAGATGGTCATCTGGAGAGTTGTTAGTAGGGATTTAATGTTATTAGAAATGCACTAAAACCAAAATAGAGACTGTGACTAATGGGACAATCCAAGATGGAGTTGTGGTGGGATTTCAACATGGAACCCAACAGACTGAAAGGACTTTTGCCGCCAAAACCATCCTTTGCACATGGCATGTGTCCATGTACACCGCACCAGTTTGTCTGCACCCAGCACCATTCTCTGCACTTGGCGCTTCAGCTGCTTTCCTGCCCAGAGGCGTTTTATAAGCTCGGACCCTGAGAGAGTTCGGGTTCCTGAGTTCCTGATTTTCTCGGGTTCCGTCGTCTCTTCGTGAGTTCATCGTTCACCTAGCTTGCTGTCTTCAGGACCGTGGTGAAGGCCGGGACCTATCCTAATAACAGACCAGCAGAGTGCTTCAACCCATCACTGCGGTGAAAGCCCAGTGTAAGTGGACTCTAGCTACCTGTCCTGACGAACCAGACACACCGCCTAACTCCGATTGCTGTGGTGAATGCCCTCTACTCCAGAGCGGGGAAAACCATCTTGTGTGTTTTCTACTCACAAACTGACTGTCACACCATCTTTAATTATCAGTCACCGAACCAGGGCACAAGGAAGCAAACCCAACTTCTAGGCTAACTCCCGTCTCCCATCCAAACCAAAACACCTGCCCAGGGGAGGACGTGGCTCAGGCAAACAACGGGTACGGGCTGCTTAACAGACAACCAGCGACGTGGAGGGGGACAGATGGGACAGCGGCAGCATCCCAAACTCGCGCCGCCCAGCTCACGCTGCAGCACCGAACCAGAGGCCACAGGGCCTGAGCATGGACGAAAGCATTTACAGCTCAAGGGGACGGGACGGTTGCCTCTGGAACGGCCTTTGATATTTCGACGCCAGGCTACACCATCAAAAGCAACAGGCTCTGCAAACATTCCTGGCTAACTTCAGTTAGGGAACAGACGTCTCACTGTGGGATCTGCTTTACAAGTCCGTGCCGCCAGTGACGAAATAACCAACGCTAGAGGAAAGTGTCAGTGCTAATAAGCTTCAGAGGGGTTGGTCATCTTCCTTTCCACGTGCAAACTAATGGTTCTTATCAGCCTCTTGTAACTAGTTAGTTTTTGAGGTGCTACTAGACCCGTGGTCACCAACCAGTAGATCGCGATCTACCGGTAGATCTCGGAGGTTCTAAGAGTAGCTCTTGAGCCCTCTCTGAACTGCGTGCCTGCCCAGTACATTTACATTAGATTTCCTCATTTGAGGAGCAGCTACTCACCGAGCAACAGCACAGGTGAGTAGCTGCGAGGAATGGTGGGAATTTTTTTTTAAAAGCAGCAGTATAAGGATTGGAGATAGCAAGTGAAGGAGAGGAGGAGAATAGAGAGGGAGGGGCTTCAAGGAAGGGCGGGGCGGTAGATCTTGGCTTGGTCTGTCATTTAAAAAGTGATCTTGGATGTGTAAAGGTTGGAGACCACTGTACTAGACTATTTGTTGTTTTTTAAGTTTATCTAGTATATTAGTAAGGCATGATTTCCCTTTAGAGAAACTGTGTTGACTTTCCCCCGACAAATTATATTCATCTATGTGTCTGACAATTTTATTCTTCACTATAGTTTCAAATAAATTTGCCCGGTACTGATGTTAGACTTACCTGTCTGTAATTGCCAGGATCACTTCTAGAGCCCTTTTTAAATATTGGCATCACGTTAGCTGCCTTCCAGTCATTAGGTACAGATGCTGATTTAGAGGATAGGTTACAAACCACAGTTAATAGTTCCACAATTTCACAATTGAATTCTTTCAGAACTCTTGGGTGAATGCCATCTGGTCCCATTGACTTGTTACTGTTAAGTTTGTCAGTTTGTTTCAAAGCCTCATCTAATGACACCTCAATCTGGGACAATCCTTCATATCTGTCACATAAAAAGGATGGCTCAGGTTTGGGGATCTCCTCAATAAAGACTGAAGCCATAAGGACTGAAGCTAAGAAATCATTTAGCATTTCCACAATGACTTTATCTTCTTTGAGTGCTCCTTTAGCATCTCACTCATCCAAGGGCCCCACTGGCTGTTTAGCAGGCTTCCTGCTTCTGATGTATTAAAAAATGTTTTACTTTTTTATGAGGTTTTGGCTAGTTGTTCTTCAAACTCCTTTTTGGCTTTTCTTATTATATTTTTACACTTAATTTGAAAAACTTTGCTTCTTTCTATTCTCCTCACTGTAAGATATTGCTACTGGAAGTAGCACAGTCCTATCTTAGCTCTGTACAAATCACCAACCACCTCCTCTGCACCTGCCTGCTACATGCATGGAACCAGAGCTGGGAAGTGACACTGGCATGACGGGGCAGACACAGCCAGCAACCAGATGCATGGGAAGCTGCCATGTCCCACTCTCAGTGGGAGATGGAAGCTGCAGCTGCAGAGACCTTTCTGCTTCCTGAAGCCAGGTCAGCAAGCTCCGGGAGCTACAGTCAGGGCACAAAGCCAGCCTGGCAGCCATTGCTGGGCATTTCCCAGGGGGACAAGCTCCTGCCCAGCTAAGAAAAGTGGAACCTTCCAGCCAAGGGGCTGACAGGCCCCAGAATCTCCATCTAGGTGAAAAATCAGCTAGGCCAAGGCTTGGACTCACTGCAGAGAAATGCAGTCACTTGAGGGCAATTGATTATTGGTCATCATTACCAAAGAAGGGCTCTGGCATAGCTACAAGTCAGCTATTCAAAAGTTCAAGCAAGTTTATAAAACCCCAGACAAGACATTGACATTATGTTCATATTCCATTTACCTTAATGGTGAGGTTTCCCCTTTCATTTTGTCCTTAAATTAAAAAATAAAAATAAACAACAAAACCGTAATTAACAAAAGAGATTGGTTTTTGTTTACAAGTACGTTATTTGTTGAGGTAGAAATATATGTACCTATATTTATAACAGTGACTTCTTTGAACTTTAAAAATATTGATATTAATAACATTATGATTATACCAGAAGCAAGATGTTAAAATAATGTTGTACCATCTATTTTTAAAAGAAACCATAGAACAGTGACTGTTGCTGCAATAAAATAAAAATAATAAAAAAGTATTCATATGACACACAACATACAGAAACTCTAGGACAAGTTACAATTAAAAACAAGTGGGGCCAGAATTCTATTTATGACTATTCAAAATAAGGCAAACAAAAATAAAACATTAAAAGGGTTAAACATATAAATAAACAACTTAATGCCTTATGGAAACATGCAGTGATAACTGATACAAATGCATACTGATGCTTGCCAAATTTCTTCCATTAATATAATAACGTTTGGCATTTTCATGTATTTATATAAACTCTGTTTTAAAACGCTGCTGTCTACTGATAGGAAAAGCCCACGTTTCAAGCATTAGTGCTTAGAAGCAGAGTAGACATTTCTGTTGCTCAGCAACCATCTCTTCCAGGAAGCTGGGACTCTTTCCAGCTGTTGCATTCCTGAGGGTTCAAATCATTGTTATTAAGTTACTGGATTTATCGAAAGAAAAGTTGTTACCTTGTTTTCTCTTTGTTTTTTGTTTCGTTCTGTTTTCAATTGTTTTACCTTTGGGAAGTGTCTGTAAAAACTGTCACTTTCACTAGAGGAAGCCTCAAAGCGAGGACAGCAGAGAGAGGGGGAGAAAGCAGGGTGGGGGTGGGGTTAAGAGCAGCCTAGGAATGTGGGAAGACCTGAGCCGACAGCGATTAACTCTTAAGGTACACGCAGCAGCCAACTGAGGAAGGCTCTACAGGTGATCATCCCTGCATGTAAAAATACTGGTGCAGGAAGAGTGTAGTTGCAGCTAGTGTGGGTCTTTCCAAGCAGTTGGGAACCTGCACCGGGGTGTTAGCCCTGGCTCTGAGATGGGGGAGGAGAATCATTATCTGCTCTCGTAAAACCTCCGTTTCCTTCCTCAGTGCCTCTTGCTTTTGTCTCCGTGCCCACTGCATTGTGGGAGCAGGACTTGATCCTTCAGATTCATGCTGCCCTCTATGTGGGGGAGGGGTTGCCTCAGGAGGCATCTGTGCCGATTGAGGTGGGGGCAGGAGCAGAGCAAGGAGGCATGGACGCAGGAACGAGGAGTGATTACAGTACCCAGGGCCAGGTCAGGGGGGGGGGGGGGGAACCTATGGGGGGTGCCTGATTGCAGCTGTAAGGGGTGTCATGCGGTCTCCATCCCCAGGTGCGCTGAGCCCCTTACAGCTGCAATAGGGCAGCACATGGCCCCTGCCCCTGAGCACACAGTGCCCCTTACAGCCCGGGGGCAGGGGCCGTACAGAGCCTGATTACAGCTGTAAAGAGCACCTCGGGGGTGGGGGGGGCCATGCATGCACCATGTGCCTGCTGCCCGGTGCACAAGAATGGCTCAAGCTGGCACATGCAGTACCCTCTCATTTCCATGGGCTCCCAGCTGTTCCCACCGAGCACCTATTATATTTAAAGTATCACACACACACACACTCTCTCTCTCTCTCTCCCTTTCCCCTCTTGTTGTTACCAATAGTTTCTCCCCCCAACTGCAATGGCCAGGTGAATTAGGTGGGGGAGGGATGGAACATATAGGCTGTGTCTACATTGGCCGTGAGTATTTGTGCAAGAACACTGATGTTCTACTGTACAAAATCAGCGCTTCTTGTGCAAATACTCTGACGCTCCTGCTCAGGGATAAGTCCTCTTGCGCAAGTGTTCTTGCGCAAGGGGCCAGTGTAGACAGGTAACATCAATTTCTTGCACAAGAAAGCCCAATGGCTAAAATGGCCATCAGAGCTTTCTTGTGCAAGAAAGCGTCTACACTGGCACGGATGCTTTAGAGCAAAAGCAAATCTTTTGCACAAAGGCACATGCCAGTACAGACGCGCTCTTGTGCAAATACTTTTAATGTCAGATGCACGAAGTGGGTCTTTGCCCATGAAAGCTTATGCTTCAACACTTCGGTTAGTCTATAAGGTGCCACAGGACTTCTCACCACTATTGCAGATTCAGACTAACATGGCTACCCCTCTGATACTATTCTATCAAGACTTACTACAAAAGAGTTAATACAAAGTTTCTATGTTGTATATCAAGGGTTCCCAAACTGAGGGGCATACTCCACTGGGGGGGAGTGAAGAAATTCAAGGGGGGGGGCGTGAGGTGACCCAGCCCCTTCCCTCCCCCCCAAGAAAGAGCCGGCGCTGGCATTACCTCACCCCTTTTTTTTTTACTCAAGTTTTGCTGCTGGGGGGGGGTGGGGCATGAGAGTTTCTCAAAAATCAAAAAGGGGGCGTGATGCCAAAAAGTGTGAGAACCACTGTTGTATATGAAAAGGTACAAAGTTTCCATATAAAAGGACTTAATACAAAGCTATATAAAAGCTATGTACAAAGTTAAAAACTTCAATGAGAAAATGATAAATGCAGAGCTTTACGATTAATACAGAGTTGTATCTACACTGTCTCCCTTTTGGCCCCTCAAGAACAATTCTTGAGTGGGTCACACTTTATACCACTGATGAATGACAACACACTGAGAAGCAATTTGAGCTTGTGGTTGTAATTTAACAAATGTTTTCTTTGTCCAACATCACATACAGCACACTCATTAAACAATATTTTAATATGTATTATCACAATTAGAGTGAAAAAAACTCCCAATATTTTAGATGGAAGTAACTTTCCCTTAAAAGCAGTTTCTCCTGGATTGGTGTTTGTAGTAAATTGAGGGTCAGTAACATGGAGTCAGCAGGCCTAAATAGAGGCCTGTAACATGAAAACAGCAACAGGCCTGCAATCTAGTGAGCAAGACTTTCGTTCAGTAACAGGAGCCAAGAAAGAGGCCCTATTGATAACTGTGCGATTGTGTAAGTTAGGTCGAGCATGGAAGGACACAGGGAGGCACTGGATACAGACTGTGAGCCAAAGGGGAGTAATGGAACATCTTAATAAGAAATGTCTTGGTACAAAAACTCCCTAAAAACTAATGCACATACCGATCTAGGTTCAGGACCAGGTCGGAACTGACAGCATGAGGGATAGTAAGTAAGCCCCCCTTCCATAAGGTGAGGGGTGGTAACTAGGCAACAGAGGGTGGTAACCTGGTGCGTAAAGAAATGATGTAAGTTGTTTGTACCTGTCTATAAAAGCACACTGCAGAGGATGCTCTCCGGCCGACCTGGGGGGGGCGCACTAGGCGCCTGAACGGCAGGTGTCATTGCCTAAACTTACAGAATGCACAGTAGCTTAACTTTGACTAACTGCTGTTAATATCTGATATATGGCAATAGGCCTGCCCGGTGTTGGTACCTTGTCAATGCGGGCCATAGTGCCCAGTGGTGTAACATTGTACTGATCTCTGTTACCAACTGGTAGAGCTTCGAATTTGACGATAAACCTGCTCAATTGATTTCAAACCTTGCTTGCATCGTCGTTTCCGGGGCCTCTTAGAGATCTCTTGTGTTGACCCAAGTGCACGGGGTCTAACACTCTAGATAAAGGGAGTACCGATTGTTATGCACGCAGCCGAAAGTTTATTATCACCGATGGAGTAGAGGTCCTGTCAGGAGCGCGCCAGGACAACCCTGGCCAGACGACGCTGACACTGACAGTCCAGACCACTGAAGGTATCGAGGTATGAAAACACCGAGGTACGACAGTGTTCACACCTCCACATCAGCTGCTGGAAATGGGGCAAA